GATATATCATAACATTGTGAAATTTTAATTTTAATTACTTTTTGATTTAATTTGAATCAAATATATACGAGGTGTATATATAATTTTGATCACATAAACATAATACTTTAGTATTTTTATAATTAAAATATCATTTTTAAATCATTTTATATGAATTGATTAAAATAATAAATTAATAAATAATTATATATTTTTTAGATTGTAGATAAATTTATAATTTGAGCACATCGTGTTGAAGAGTGTTTCACTATTTTAATCATTATATGAACTTTTCCGGTAGTCTAAAAATAATTTGAACTCTAACTAGGTATAATAAATTTAAATACATAGACCAAGTCATAAATTTTGTTTGTGAATTGCATCATAGCCTTATTTTAATAAACTATTTATGTTTCTTAACTTAAAAAAAAAAAAAAAAAAAAAAAAAAAAAAAAAAAAGAACAAGGAGCAAAGCAGGGGGCAAAGACCCAGCTTCGGCCACTCCTCCATGGGCAACAAAAAATTAACTTGATAAATCGAGAGGCAAAATTAAAAAAAAAAAAAAAAAAAAAAAAAACTATGAATTGAAAAGCAAAGAAAGAACGGAGAAGATAACAGTAGAGAAATGATAGAAGAGAGAGAGACAAAAAATAGAACAAATACGAATGCATAGAAAATGAGCAAAGAACCTTAAACACTATTAATATCTAATTAATAGAAAAATTAATATGGGGTAAAATAATTAAAATAACTAATTATAGTAAAATTAAAGTTACAAAAATTACTTGATAATCAGAGGCAAAATTGAAGTTTCAAAGGATATTTACGACTTTACATAATAACATTTAATCAATCGAAAATTGTGAAATATAAATACAAATAATAAAATTCAAAATACCTCTTTTGAGATAGTGCAGACTGTGTTAAGTAGTTTTACCGCATTAATTATATTAATATTTATAAAAAGTAAACTATTTTAATTTTTTTTATTTATTTTCTCTATTTATTTATTAAAAAAATAGTAATTACTTTTGAGAAATGATAATACAAATTTTATTGTTAAATTAATATGTCATAATTAAGTACCTAGTTTCATACATTGTATCTTATTAAATATTAAAAAAATCTTAATATTTTAATAATTTTCACTTTTAAACAATAAAATAAAATATTTTAAAAGGAAAAAATAATTTTTTAAAGGAAAAATATTAAAATTTAAATTGAAGATGATCATTTATTAAAAATTAAATTAAATTTAAATTTGAAAGATTAAATAATAATAAATTTATTTATTTATTTTATGTTATAAAATATTTAACTCATGTAGAAATTTTTATAAATTTAATAAGAATATTATATTATTATATATATACTATATATATATTATAGATATTATATATATATATATATATATATATAGAATAATGATTTTAAAAATAATTTTACAATTTAATTATATTATTATTATTATTTTGTTATAAGATTGTGCATCAATATACTTCTTAATTTTATTAACAATAATCATAAAAATAAAAATAACATATCTATTTATTTTTTAAATTTTAAAGTTTTATGCATTGTGGTATAGAACTATAAGCCAATATACTATTTTAGTATTTGATAAAATCTATTTAAGTATTGCTAAATAATTATAAACTCAAAATAAAAAATTATATACAAAAGTCAAAAATTCGGTTCAACCCAAGTCGACCAGGTCCAACCACGATCTAGTAATGATATCAGTTCAATTTCCGGTCTGGTTTTAAAAACATCGCTTCTCTTAAGGAAAAAAGTTGGAATTGTTGTACAACTCAAAATTTTGAACCTTGTTTTCTTAGTTGTTTGAAACACACATACCACTTTGCCTCTTTTAACTATTGTGCCTCATAATTTGTTCTCTTTTATTTAAATTCCGGCTTTGTCACTAACTCCATGCCAAATGAAATAACGTTATTATCACATTCAAAAAAAAAAAAAAAAAAATTTTATCCATTCACAAAAAAAAAAAAAAAAAAAAAAAAAAAAAAAAAAAAAAATTTATCATTTTATGCCAAGAATAATTTGTCAAACAATTTATTCAAATCAACTACGAAGCATAAGCCTGAATTCCATTATTTCATTAAATTTGAATGGCACATTTAAAGCTCTTATGCAATATTTGCGATTTATATGTGTTAACATACAATAATAAAATATATTAAAATAATAATATTAGATTCTTAAATAAACTTTAACTGACAAATAATATCAAATTCGTAACCTTATCTTGACACAATTATCCTGGGTCTAGTATATATACCCCAAATTTATTCAAGAGAGTGATTAATTCACAATTTACTATACTTTAAATTCTGAGAACTTAATAATTGATGCGATCAGCGTGGAATACACTTTCAAACCTTAAAAACTACCCACAATTTTTTATCGATTCTTATGGCTAACGATTCCTCTGAGTGCCTCCACATGGAAGATCAAGACAACACCCATAGCGAGGCTAATCGACAACCCACATTCGCCCCTCCATCAACCATGGAGCCTTAGGTAGCAGCTGCTCTAGCTCAAACTTATTCGCAATTCACCACCGTATTAAAGCGTCCTCTTGGAAGACCCTTCGCCTAGCGGCAAGCCAATACCATCCACCAGGCTGGTAAACCCTCGCCGCCAAGAATATAGCCTCCTTCAAACTTTGCCTAAGTGCTGAAGTCATTCAATATATGATCGATACTATGAGGTAGAATCGAAGGTAGACCCTTGTGCAACTATCCTCAATTCATCACAAGCGTGCCATCCAGGAAAATCTTGTATGATCTAATAGACCTAAAAAGAGAAGATGGTGAGACGTTGAGACAATATGTCTCTAGATTCCAAAGAATGGCGATGCAGATTGAGAACCTGAATGATGAAGTGACCATTAGTGCCATGGTGAAGAATTGCAAATATAGCAAGCTATTCGAGAGTTTGAGTATAGACCCTCCTCCTTATGGCATAGGCTCACAAATGTACAAAGTTGGATGAAGCCTACGAAGCTCAACATTAAAGATGGCATGAGGAAGAAAATCCTAAGCATATAAGACACCCTTCTCCAATCAAGAGATGTTCACCCAAGAGAAGATCGCCTCTCCGGCATCCACGAGCTAGCTACATTGTTAGAGCATCCCATTTAAGAGAAGATAGATCACAACAAGACCAAGAGATCACCCCCTTGAACAAGCGCTTAAGGGCGAACTCACCAAATGGGAGGTGGAGCCGGAAAGATATCTGACCTAGGGTGATGAACTACCCCAGACATGAAATTCAGAAATCTGAAGAGGGCATATTGTATTTTCACCCAATAAGATGTAAAGTAACTTTATATTTAAATAATAAAAAGAACTCAGGTTTTTAATGTATCATGCCTTGTAAGGGTAAGAAAGACATGATGCATTAAGTTTTTCCTAAAGGACCTTATTTAGAAACTTTTCAATGTTTGTTTTAGTTCTCCAGTTCGGACCTAAGCGGTCCTTTAACTAAGTCCATCAGTTCAAACATACACAATTCTCCAATTCGGACCCAAGCGGTCCTTTAGCTAAGTCCATCAGTTCGGACATACATGCTTCTCCAGTTCGGACTCAGCGGTCCTTTATCTAAGTCCATTAGCTAGGACATACATAGCTCGCTCAGACAGCCTAAGTGGTCATTCTCACTAAGTCTATTAACTTGGACATATGTAGCTCGCTTAGATGACCTAAGCGGTCCTTCTCACTAAGTCCACTAGCTCGGACGGTCCTTCTCACTAAAGTCCACTAGCCTTCGACATATATAGGTTTGGCCAGATACCTAAGCGATCCCTTCTCACTAAGTCCACGTAGCTTTCGGACATAACAGTTTCGCCAGAATGACCTAAGCGGTCTTTTCAATAAGTCCACTAAGCTCGGAACATACATGGTTTGGCCTAGATGACCTAAGTTTTGGTCCTTCTCACTAGTTCCACTTAGCTCGGACACTAAGTCCACTAGCTCGGACATACATAGTTCGTCCAAATGACCTAAGCGGTCCTTTTCACTAAGTCCATTAGATTGGACATGTGTAGTTCGCCATCTAACCTAAGCTATCTTCTAACCAAGTCCATCAGTTCGGACATACTCGGCTCTCCAATTCGGACTTAAAGCGGTCCATAACCAAGTCCATCAGTTCGAACATACTTAGCTCTTCAGTTTAGACTTAAGTGGTCCATAACCAAGTCCAAAAGTTCAGACTTACTCAGTCCTCTAGTTTGGACTTAAGCAGTCCTCTAGTTCGGCTCGGACGTAGGCAGTCCTCCAGTTCGACTCTAACTTAAGCAGTCCTCCAGTTGAACCTGGACTTAAGCAGTCCTCCAGTTCAGCCTGGACTTAAGCAATCCTCCAATTAGGCTCGAACTTAAGTAATCTTTCAGTTTGGAAGTTCAACTAGGACTTAAGTAGTCCTCCAATTTGGCTTTGACTTAAGCAGTCCTTCAGTTAAAACGCTCCTCTTAGCCCATAAAATTTCAAGTTAAAGCAGCTTAAACAAGTTCACACTTAGAGATGATAAGCAGAACCTCGCTTTGACAATTTACATACACCACTCGCAATGGAAAACACTTTATCGGAAACACTTAGAAATTGAAATTACGCCAATATTCAATATCATACAAAAAGGATAAATAAAAGAGCTATTGATTACATAAACTGATAAGAAGTGACTCTTAAGGTTCTCCTTAAACAGACAAATCATCACCCTGTTTCTCCCAAACAAAACCACCGCTGAACTGATAAGAACAGGCTAGGAACTCCATGCTCAAAAAATATCTATAATAATTAGTAATCAGAGTATAAAAAATAAAGTATACACATATAATATAAATATAGACAACAAATGTCACAACCCATCTCCGCGAGCCGGACCGGCACTAGGACATGGGTGGGCTTAAGGCCCTTGAAGCCCGTAGTAAGCCTATATTAGTTAAACTCATATTCTGTTCATAAATGTGGCTTCATACCCAATAATTTATTTCACCAATATATATCAAAAATACAATCCATATTATTAATATATGTGCTATTGTTATCCAGTTACAATCCATTTGGAATACAATTGCAGAACTTCATAATCTACAGTCCTTAACATTTACATGGCTAACACAACTATTAACAAGTTTCTAGTTCCGATATTTCAACTCAGTCGGGTCCATAGGACTCTCGTTTCTTCCTATTACCTGAAAAAAAAAATAAAAGGCAAGGGTGAGCACCAAACTTAATGAGTAGGGTTAGATAAATCTCTCACCACACAATCACACAAATGCTATAATAAATCAATTTAGTCCTCTGACTAGTCATATGATCATGCAATTTGTCACACAAATGGCAATACAACAGCAATCACAATCATTATCATCTTCATCATTCACACGAAATGCATCCTAAAGTACTAAAATGCACACACAGCCAGTCACGCATATGGCACAACATCAGCATCCACAAGTAATTACATCTTCAGGTAATCAAACATGGCCCATCCTCTCATGACGTGTGCACCAAGGAGCCGATCTCTCATACATGGCTGACCGGTCTAAACCTCACTTGATCAGCCTTCTAATTTTTGTTTATACTCTCTTTTCTTTCCATACTAACAGGAGACCACCCTGTAATTTTCCTTATAATTGATATCATCAGATGCACACAGGAGCGCCGATCTTTCCATACATGGCCGACGGTATTGAAGACCACTCTCACAAACCCAATGGTGACCCACTTCATCCCAATTTCACACAAACACAGCATATCATCATCACAACATATCTAATCAAACATGGCATTTAAATGCAAGCACATTAAATAAACAAATATTGTTGTGCAAACACATAAATATGCACATATATAATTAAGTATAAAGTAATGAATATTTATGCTATAACAATAAAAATAAATAATTACTAATTAAATAAATAGGTTTTATTGTCCTTTAAAGAACTATCGTTACTACTGCACGCTTCCAGCATTTGTCTTCACATTTCGGAACTTTATAAATATCTAAAATAAAAAGAAAATTCTAAATAAGTTATAAGTTGAGAAATATATTTCACATTCATTTATTAGTTTTGGTTACTAGTCGCTTAATTAACTTATCAAACTAAACTATATTATATTATATATATATATATATATATATATATATATATTGATGTTTTCCTTTAATTTATTGCTCATTTACACTTTTAATAAAACTTCTAGTTATTTGGTAAGTATATAATGTTCATTTATTTATTCTCATTTACAACTTTTAATAAAACTTCTAGTTATTTGGTAAGTAATATTTTATAATGATACTAATAATAATAATATTGTTATTACTAGGAATAATAATAATAATACTAATAATAATGATAATAATACTACAAGTTCTAGTTGTTACTACCTATTAAAGATATAACTAATTTAATTCTTTATTAAGTGTTTTGCAAAAAATTCGGCAGCATTTTATCTATAAACTGTACTATCCAAATTATCATATATCGTACAAATCCATACACAGCCCATCCATCGGGCAAATTCATATCAATTGATCCATCCGCCATAACCATTATTCTCAATCAAGCTAAATTTCCTTAATATAATTAATTATTTTATAATTATTTACTTGTTTACACCGTAAATTAAAATTATTCCTAACACTATTTATTAAAGTTCCTACAATTAACTTTCATAATTATTAGTTAGGAATTCTTATTTCAATTTCTACCTTATTATTAATGTTCATGAACTATATTTAACAATATTTAATTTAATTCACTTAAGTACTCAATTAATTCATTAATTCGGGATTTATTCAAAAAAATTACGAATTAAGCTTTAGAGTATACCGATTGAAAATCGGAGGACAAATCCACAATCCACGAGAGCAGAGGAAAAATCTGTCTCTTGGTGCCTCGCCGGACCGCCACCGTCACCGCCGTGCACGGTGGCCGGAAAGTCGGTCTTGCATATAAAATTGCAAGGTTACCACCACCCGACTCGAATTTTTGTGAGGAGTCCAAATCTACCATCAGTTTGATGAGCCAGTGGCTCGTTTGGACGGAACAAGCCCGACAGCCAGCAAGGAAGCCACCGATCATGGTGGTTTCACCAATCTTCACCAGAAATTCAATCTAGTAGAGAGGAAGAGTTCGCACGGAGGAGATGAAGCAATCGGCGCTGTTCCTTCAAGCTGCAACCGTCGCAAACGACGTGGATTGCCAGATCTTCATCGCGCGACGCTAAGTTCCAGTCGCGACCTCCTTCGATTCTGGCCTCTGTTCTGCGAAACGACACCACCAGCGAGCTCCTCTCGTCGAGAAGATGAAGATAGAGGGCTTGGTTGCCGGAGTCCGTGGCCCGTCAACGAAAAACACAGTGAAGCAAGGGAGGGGGTGCTGTCCCGCGAAAGGAAGAAGAAGAAGAAGAAGGAAAAGAAGAGAGAAAAGAAAGAAAATTGGGCTTCTAGACCATTCCGGTTCAATTCGAACCGGTTTGGTCTAATTCAATAATTTGGCTCGGAATTTGGCTTCGGCCTCTTGATCAATTTGCAGATTTTTCACTTGATTTTTGGATATTTCGTATGTTTTTTTCGAAAAATTGAATTGATTTCTGAGTCCGGTTTCGATTTATTTTGATTATTTAGTAAGTTCGCATAACATTTCCTCCATTTATCACTACTAAAAAAAAAAATAATTAATAGTAATGACATTTTGAAAATATTAATAGTAATGACATTTGATTTTGGAATAAATAATTTATATAGTAGCTACATACATATACATACATTTATAATTGGGCTCGAATTGAGATTGTATTACATATACAGCCAACAGTTTAAAATTTCCGATTTTTGATTTAATAAAAATTCGAAAGTTTCGAAAATAAAAATTCGAGGTATTTCAATAAAATAGACAAATGCTACATTTGACATAAAATGACCAAATAACTAGTGGGGACTACTGCTAACATACAATAAAAAAATATATTAAAATAATAATAATAGACTCCTAAATAAACTCTAACTAGCAAATAATATAGGATTCGTAATCCTTACCCTGACACAATTATCCTGGGTCTAGTATATATACTCCAAATTTACTCAAGAGATGGGTTAATTCATAATTTACTACACTTAAAATGCTGAGCACTTAACAATACGCAAAGGAAAAAATAATAAGCAATTAAATTACATGAATAATTTCCAAAGTTGACCAATCAGAAGAGAGTTCACTTGCAACCTTGATGAAAAAAAATGATGAACCGAATAAATTTAAAAATAATAATTATGGTTGTCTAGTAGCAAGTAAAAAAGCCAAAAATAAATCGTTGAAGGAAACTTTATTTCTTGTCCATATACCTGCAAATCCAAAGTACAAAAACAAGAACCAACTATAAAAATTAGCGATTAATAATAAAGAAAAAGATAATTAATAGACTGTTATAGTTAAATATATTTACGTTATACTTGTTATTTGTACTCATTGATTTTTACACGTTGCAATTAAATGTAATTTAATATATATATATAAATTTTATTAAAATTTTTGTTGTAAATTATAATATTATAATATTTTATATTATTAAAAATCTGAGTGCATTCACAAAATACAAAAAGGATATTTTATGAAATAACTTATATATACACACACGCATTTTATCTTAATTTATATCGTCATTTTTCTAAAATTCATTATAATTATAATATGTCCTCATAAGTATGTTTCAACATATATAGATACATTGATATAACAATAAAATATTACTTATATTTTAAAATTAAAATTTTTAATTATTCATAATTATACACATACACATGTTCATTTTATTTAAAAATAAATTTTAAAAGTAAAAATTTAAAAATTTTTAAAGTTTAATCCTGCATATTCTATTTGAAAATTATTATAAAAAAATACACTTTTTTTCTTTTTTATCTCTCTCCTACATAAAATATTTTAAATTATAATAAATAATAAAATAGAATCAAATATTTAAAAATAAATTTAAACTAAAATATAAAAAATTTAAAATGTATCAATATATTTATTAAAAAATAATATGTTCATACTACTTTTTTTTAAAAGAAAATATCATGTGTTATATTAAATATCCAACCACATTACATTTGAGAAAATAAATTTATTTTGGTATTAAAAACTCTTAAATTATTTTTTCATATTTTTTCCTTATATATTTGAAATATTTATATTTTTTTATATAATAATATTTACGCAAATGTTAAAAGAAAAAGTTTGATATTTTTTATATTTGAACATACTTTGATATTGCATTAAAATAAATAATTACATTTATTATAGAAATTAAAGTTTAAACAAATACATTCGGATACCATTAAATATAAATATGATTGTTGATTAATTTAGCAATTAATTCATTATGAAATTGAGAAACAATCAAATCAAATGCACTAGAGAATCAAATATCTATCTTAAATGATATCTTTTAAATTATAATCAAAATAAAATCAAATATTTAAAAAATAAATTAAAAAAATAAAATATAAAACTTTTCAAATGTATCATTATCATATATATTTGCTAAGATATGAATTAAAAAAAAAGGTAAAACTTAATTTTTAAATAGTTGATTATCTATATATATTTATTTAAAAAATAATTTAATATTTTAATAAATTATATCCAATTAATTAATAGAATATAATTTTTAATTGGACTAGGCAAAACCACGGTTTTAAAACCACCAGTTTAAATTTTGAAATCACCGAATCCGGTTATATAAAAGTTGAAATTAAAATCGAACAGCTTTTAGATGGTTTCTAAGATAGTTTTAAAACCGCTGGTTTTCATATTTTTTTTTAACTGAAATTAAACCATATATTTTAAACTTTTGAAAATATTTTTAAAGATCTGTAGATTGAATAAATAATAATAATAACTATTGCTACTAAAAAAAAAATAAATTAATTTAATAATTGAAGGAGAGTAGATAGAGCTTACTTCGAAGTGTCTTGTCTATGTACCTGCAAATCCCAAATAAAAAGACAAGAACCCAGTGTCATAATTAGCAATTATTAATATCAATAAAAAGAAAATGTGGTTAATTAAATATATTAACATCATTAATGGTACGTACTTCTCGAGACCCGTGGGCTCCCGTGAGCCACTCATATTGAGCGGCTTTAATTGCAGGGTTTGCGAGGGACATAATCCTGCAAATCCCAAATAAAAGAACATGAACCACTTAAATACATTTGACATCATTAACAACGATTACTTCTTGATATTTGATGGCTGCCCTTACTTATCAATGTTGAACTGCCTGGGTTGATTGCTTCGTGAGCGAGAACGAGGATTAGTATTTTTAAACCCTGTTTTTGAAGGCAACAATAAACAAATGAAGGAGAGTGAAGAGAGCTTACTACTGTCCAGGATGCTGCAATCCCAAATACAAAAACAAGAACCAACTATAAAAATTAGCAATTTATACAAAAAAAAAAAAAAAAAAAAAAGAAGAAAGAAATAAAATCTTGACTAGTTACCTGTATTGTGGGTTTCCTGCTCTGGTCATGTTCATTTGGTAGGATTGACAAATTCCTGCAAATTCCAAAATACAAAAACAACAACGAACAATAATGGTTAGATAAATAAATTAACATCGTTTACTTCACTTACTTCTTAACATAAAAAATCGTTGTAGGAAAGTGGAAAGAGTTTACTGTCCAAGAAGCTGCAAATCCCAAATATTAAAATAACAAACAAATATAAAATTAGCAATTAATACCTAAAAAAAAAAAGTAAAAGAAGAAGAAAATCTTGATTAGTTACCTGTACAGTGGGCGTCCTATCCTGGTCATGTTTAACTGGCAGGATTGAAAAATTCCTTCGAATCCCAAATACAAAAACAAGAAACAACTATAATGATCAGTTAAATATATTAGCATCATTTACTTCTTGACATAACAAATGATTGAAAGAGAGTGGAGCGAGCTTACCGTCCATGAAGCTGGAAATCCCAAATACGAAAAGGAAGAACCAACTATAAAACATTAGCAAATAATAATAATAATAATAATAAGAAGAACCAACTATAAAACATTAGCAAATAATAATAATAATAATAATAATAACAACACGATGATTAGTTACCTGCACGGAAGGCGTCCTTTCCTGGTCATGTTGAACGAAGCTGTTATAAGAACTCCTGCAAATCCCAAAAAATAAGAACAAAAAGAACCATAATATTACACACTTTTCAATAATAATATCAATAATTTTTAGGGTCTTTAGATTTTATCCGCAAAATATCAACTTGACATATAGTTGACATGATTTTTGAAACAATAATTTTTATAAATTTCAACTTTTAATGAGTTTTTAATTGATTTAATTTTGCAAGTTACAGTATTCAATAAAATAAATTTCAAAATTAGAGTGTTTAATATGTGTAATTTTATAAGTTAAATTGTTTAATAGGTCAAAGTAAAAGTTGATAGTGCTATAAAGTTAAAGTAACAAAGTTCGAGGGTGAATATATGTATTTGGCCAAATAACAAGCAAGAATTAATAAGGGTTATGAAAAATAAGATAAATTTAATAAGGATATAGTACAAAATTTAAGGATTAACTATAATGCAAAAAAGAAAAATGGATTATATTTTGAAACAAAAAAAAAAAGAAAGATGAACTATTTTTTTGGAACGGAAGGAGTAAATAATAACTCTGTACATGAGAAATTAATCGTTGCACATTCTGTTCTATTCTTTCTTGACGAACATTGCACATTGTTTTGACGTATATTGCACATTGTTCATTTTTTACTTGTTATTTTATTCATTTGTATTTTTTAATATTAAATATTGATTATCATTTTTCCCTTATAATACTTAGATTTTATAATGTTAAAATAAAATTTCATACCAGAATAATATGAATATAATGATTAATTAATCAAACAATAGTGTTATTATATATACCTATACAATTTAGTTCAATTTATATTACTATTTATTTAAAATTCATTATTGCTATATATATTCTGCAGTATCTCTTATAAATACGTTTCAACATATGTGTGTCTGTGTGTGTGCACGCATGCATGTGTTTAAACATGAAATTAACATCAATAGCAAATTTACTTTCTACCTTAAAAAAAAAAAAAATATAGCATGGTTTATTGTCTATGCACATATATCTGTTAAATTATAGATATCAAACCTCATTAAAGGAAAAAGATATGAAGAATATAATATGGAAAATACTTTTTAACAAATTAACAATTATCTTTAAACATAGATTGACTAATTAGTTAATTATGTAACAAGTACATTAATCATAATCAAAACCTTTTAAAAAGAAAAAGCAATTATTTCTAAAATTTGCAAAAAAAGAAAAAATAAAATCCAAAGAAAAGATAGTATCAAGTCGACATTTATAAAATTTCTCTTTATTTCAACGTTGTACATAGACATATAGATATAATAATAAAATATTACATATGTTTCTGAAATTAAAATTTTAAAAGGCTTTAATTATATATATTCTATTTGAAAATTTATTTCTAAAAAATATATCTAATCAAATCATATAAACATAAACTTTTTTAAAAAAAAATCATACAAACATAAAGGAAAACATTTTCTTTCTTTATATCTCTCTTAAATGATATCTTTTAAATTATAATCAAAATAGAATCAAATATTTAAAAAAATAAATTTGAAAAACAAAATATAAAACTTTTTAAATGTATCATTATCATATATATTTATTAAAATATGAATTAAAAAAAGGTAAAACTTAATTTTTAAATTGTTGATTATCTATATGTATTTATTTAAAAAATAAATTATGTCCAATGAACTAATAAAATATAATTTTTAATTGGACTAAGCATGACCACGATTTTAAAACCACCGGTTTAGGTTTTAAAACCATCGATTCCGATTATATAAAAGTTGAAACTGGAACTGAACCGCTTTTAAACGGTTTCTAAAATAGTTTTAAAACCGTCGGTTTTCGTTTTTTTTTTTTCTGATTTTGAACCGAAATTAAATAATATATTTTAAACTTTTGAAAATATTTTTAAGGATTTGTAGATTGAATAAATAATAATAATAACTATTGCTACTAAAAAAAAAAAACTAAATTAATTTAATAATTGAAGGAGAGTAGATTAGAGCTTACTTCGAAGTGTCGTGTCTATGTACCTGAAAATCCCAAATAAAAAGACAAGAACCCAATGTAACAATTAGCAATTATAAATATCAATAAAAAGAAAATGTGGTTAATTAAATATATTAACATCATTAATGGTACTTACTTCTCGAGACCTAAGGGCCCTCATGAGCCGCTCATGTTGAACGGTTGTAATTGCAGGGTTTGCGGGGGACGTGTTCCTGCAAATCCCAAATAAAAGAACATGGACCAACTATATTATACTTAAATATATTTAACATCATTAACAACGATTACTTCTTGATATTTGATGGCTGCCCTTACTTATCCATGTTGAACAGCATGGATTGATTGCTTCGTGAGCGAGAACGAGGATTAGTATTTTTAAACCCTGTTTTTGCGGGCAAAAATAAACAAATGAAGGAGAGTGAAGAGAGCTTACTGTCCATGAAGCTGCAATTCCAAATACAAAAACAAGAACCAACTATAAAAATTAGCAATTAATACAAAAAAAAAAAAAAAAAGAAAGAGAGAGAATAATACAAAAAAAAAAAAAAAAAAAAAGAAAGAGAGAGAAAATCTTGACTAGTTACCTGTATTGTGGGTTTCCTGTTCTGGTCATGTTGAATTGGTCGGATTGACAAATTCCTGCAAATTCCAAAATACAAAAACAACAACGAACAATAATGGTTAGATAAATAAATTAACATCATTTACTTCACTTACTTCTTAACATAACAAATCGTTGTAGGAGAGTGGAAAGAGTTTACTGTCCAAGGAGCTGCAAATCCCAAATATTAAAATAACAAACAAATATAAAATTAGCAATTAATACCAAAAAAAAAAAAAAAAAAAAAAAACCAAATAGATAAAATTAGCAAATAATAATAATAATAATAATAATAATAATAACAATAACAACAACACGATGATTAGTTACCTGCACGGAAGGCGTCCTGTCCTGGTCATGTTGAACGAAGCTGTTATACAAATTCCTGCAAATCCCAAAAAATAAGAACAAAAAGAACCATAATGATCGCTTAAATATATTAACATCGTTAACGGCACTTCTTCACATCTGGTGGTTGTTCTGACCTGATCATCTTGAAATGGCTTAGGTTGATTCTTTGCGAGCGGGGACAAGGGTTATAGTTTTTGAAAGCTGCTTGAAGGCGATATCAAATAGTTAAAGAAGGCGGAGAGAAGTTACTCTGAAGTTTCGTCTCCGTGTACCTGCAAATCCAAATATGAAAACGAGGACAAACTTAAGAACCACAACGTCAGATTTCGATTCGTTTTCCACCGAATAACGTGTCTTAGATTAAATTACTAAAAGAATTTCAAGTTCATACCTACCTACCTGGTGAAATTAAACTAGCAAGTTGATGACTATGACTCAATAATAATTAAAATATAATAAAAGCTAACCACATAACCATTCATGTCAGAAAAAGAAAAAAAAAAAAAAATTGCCAAGCGAGGATCCACTACAAGAAAAACGCCATTTTGCAACCGACAAATCGGTCGCAAAATGGCTAATATCGTTCGCAAATTTACTTTTGCGACCGAACTGAGACCGACATATTTCTGTCGCAAAATACGTGGTCGCAAATATTTTTTGCGACCGATATAATCGGTCGCAAATTTGCGACCGATATAAGTCGGTCGCAAAATACCTGGTCGCAAATATTTTAGCGATCGATTATTTAATCGGTCGCAATTTTGCGACCGATTATATCGGTCGCAAAATTGATTTATCGGTCGCAAATGTTAGTCGTGGTTTAATTTGAAATTCAGTCACTAAAATGGTCGCAGGAAAAACGGTCGCAAATTTTTTAAAGCGGTCGCAAATCGGTCGCAAACTGTAAATTTAAAATTGTAAATTTCGGTATCAAATTGGTTGCAAATCGGTCGCAAAAATTAAAAAAATAAAAAAAATTAAATATTATTATAAAACCCGCACCTGTGAAAATTGACATATATACATATACAACACACACGCAATTCAAGAATAATGTAAAATTGTAATTTTTATTGTGCTGAACAAATTAAAATATCAAAATACAAATAAAAAACTATGCTGCTGCTCATCTGCAGGATCCAATGTCGGATCGCCGGGAGGAGTACCTGCTGGATGTGATGTAGCGCCAGGAGGGGTGACCAAGGTATCGTGTGATGTAGGACAGGAGGGGTGACCAAGGTAATCGTCTGCAGCCATCGGGATAAGGAGCAGTGAAGTGGCTGCTGTTGAGAGTGACGTCAAACATGTCGGTCCTGTAGAGCGAGGTGCCAAGGATGTCAGAAGAAAGAAATATACCAGCAACGGGCTTTACCTGAAATGGCTGTTCCTAAACGGTGGCGGAACGGCGTAGACGAGTGACCGGAAGCGCGGTGGCGGCGTCCCACAAGGGGCTGGAAGCGTTCCCCTCAGGAGGGCTGGAGCGGCGCTGCGGACCGGAGGAGAGGAGAGGAGAAGGAAAGAGAGAAAGAAGAAGAAAGGAAAAGAAGAGGCGAGTTTAAAAGCCCTAACCTTTGGCGACCGATATCGGTCGCAAAGGCCAATAAAATCGGTCGCAGATTTTAATTGTCCGAACTCGGTTTTAACTACCGAGAATTTGCGACCGATTGGCGACGTGAAATAAGTCGGTCGCATAAAATCCGTCGCAATGTTATCATCTAATTCCGGTCCCTCAGAAATTTATCCCCTTTTTTTTTTTTTAACGCGCGCATTTTTGCCGATAGAACTCTGTTTAGTCGTAAAGCGGTCGCAAACCTCGGTTCGCAAATGAGTAGTAATTCAGTCGCAAAATGGAAAGGCAAACTCGCGGAGTTTTCGGGAGCTAAAATCTGCGACTGTTTGCAAAATGAGTCGCAAAATCGGTCTCAATATGCGACCGATTTGTCGGTTGTCCGCAAAAAATCGGTTCGCAATTTTTGGCATTTTTTTTTGTTAAGTGGGAAATTTGCAAATGAGTCGCAAATCGGTCTCAATATTGCGACCGATTTTTGTCGGTCGCAAAAATCGGTCGCAATTTGGCATTTTTTTTGTAGTGGGAAGCGAATAGCAACAGTTCAAAAACAAACAATACAAAATTTGAGCCATTATTGTCAAGCTTTGGCGAATTAAACTCAACTCAAAATTAATCAACTGAATTGAATTATATATGTTTTTAAATTACTATAATCAAACATTAAATTATATTTCTAATAGATATAAAATTAAAACTTTTATTTGGTCATTTTAAATCTTTTAAATTACAATTAAATATTACATATTTTTTATTTTAAATTTTAATCCTTTTTAATTTTTCTTTATCTCTTTCCTAATTAAAATTATATATTTTTCATTTTTTGTATCTCTCTTCTTATTAAAAATCTTTAAATTGTAATCGAATATTAAAATCAAGTTTTAAATATATATTTTTATTATAATTAGATACATAAATTAAAATTTCTAATTGTCCATTTCAAAATATTTTAAATTATGATCAAATATTATATATAACTCTTTAAATTACTTTTTAAATTTTTTTTATTTTCGTTATCTCTCGACTAATTAAAATCTTTTAAATTGTAATCAAAATATTATATGTATATTGTTAAATTGAAAATTTTTTATTGTCTATTTTATATCTTTTAAATTATAATTATATATATTTTTTAAGAAATTAATTTTTTAAATATTCTCCCCTCTTTCTTATCACTCTCATAATTAATATCTTTCAAATTCTAACCAAATATTACAGTCACATATTTGATTTGATTTGAGGATCGTAGGTGTTGGAATGCTCCGATGGTTAATGGTTCTGAGGATCTTAGAGTTTCTGATTTGATTTGTGAGGATCGTAGGTGTTGGAATGCTCCTTTGATTTATGCCTTATTTAATCCAGTTGAGGCTAGCTCTATTTTAGCCTTTCCACTCTGTTCAAAGATTTTAGAGGACAGACTAGTTTAGCATTGGAATAGAAAGGGGTTTTATGATGTTAAATCTGGTTATCATGTTATTGCTGATGAGTTGTTGTAGAATCATTTTCTTAGCAATCAAGGTTTCTGGAATAAGCTTTCGAAACTTAGGTTGCCTCCAAGGGTCATTAATTTTATTTGCATGCTGCCAGAGATATTCTCCCCTCTAGAGATAGGTTGAACCAAAGAGGAGTGGTTGTTTTCAATGCTTGTGATTTTTGTGGTGTTAGTGAGTCTTCCTTCCTTTCACTTGTGTTATGTTTTAAATCAGCTAGATGTTTGGAATTATGTGGCTTGACACTTCACTTGACAGCATGTTCTGATTTTATTTTCTGGTTACAATCTATCATGAAAACCGTGGATTTTGAAAAAATTGCTGAAATTTGCGTCCTTCTATGGTTTAATTGGTTCCAGTGAAATGAGTTTTTATTTAAGAGCACTAATTTATCTCCAGAAATTATTTGTTCTAAATCCCAACATTTCTTAGATGATTGGAGGGCACGAGTGGGCTTGTGTGCCTGCAGATGCTGCTGTTCTGCAACTGGTAGATGGCAGCCTCCTAAAGTTACTGTCTTGAAATGCAATGTGGATTCCTCTGTTTTTGCTGATATGAGGTCTACTAGTTTTGGGGCAGTTTTGCGGGATAGCGATCGAAGCTTTGTGGTTGGTATTTCAGGCATATGCTATGGCCTTCGTTCTCCTAGGATGGCTGAGTTGGTTGGCATAAGGGAGGTTCTATCGTGGTTAAAAGACCAAAGGCTGGGCCCAGTTGTGCTTGAAGTTGATGCCAAAGAAATTTATGATGCTTTTAGTTTTCTATAGCTGATATTTTTGAGTTTGGGTTGTTAATTGAAGATTGTAAGGCTATGAGTATTAGTGCTAACATTATTAATGTTTTGTTTGGGGAAAAGGCAAGTTAATAGAGCTGCCCATGCTATGGCACATGTAGCTCGTCATTTACTAGCCTGAAGGTTTGAAGCTTTCCTCTCACTTAGTTTTGCTATTGCTACTGCTACTGATTTAGCAGTTGCTTAATAAAGTTTTCTTATATTCTTCAAAAAAAAAAAAAAAAATATTACAGTCAAATATAATATATATTTTTAAATTAAATATTTTTAATTGCCTTTTAAAATCTCTTAAAATTATAATCAAATATTATATATACTTTTAAATTTAAATTTTTAATAATTTTTCCTCTTTCTTATCTCTCTCCGAATTAAAATCTTTAAATTTATAATTCAATATTACAGTCAGTGTTTAAAGATATCTCAAGATATCTCAGATTTAAGTGTTAGATTAAGACTCTATTAAATTTTAAAAGATTTTAAAATTTCAATGGTATTCAATTTAGATTTTTTTAGAGTCTATTAAAATCTTGTGATATTCAATTCAATTTCGATTAAGACTCTATTAAATTTTAAAAGATTTTAAAATTTCAATGGTATTCAATTTAGATTTTTTTAGAGTCTATTAAAATCTTGTGATATTCAATTCACTTTTATAAAATCCATAAAAATCTGATGGTATTCAATTATGACTTTTTAAAACTCCATACAAATTTGACAGTATTCAAAAAATTACTGATTTTGAATGATTTTATAAAATTATTAATTTTTTTGGATTTTAAGATTCTAGGTATGAATAAAAGAGCCATTCACAGATTCAAACTCTATCCCAAAGATTTCAAAAATTTTTTAGAATCTAACAGAGTCTTATCCAATACCTCTTAATAAGGATGAAGCAGAGTAGGTACCCGTGAATTTTAAACTACCTGTATAGGTATCAGTTTAAAATTTTACTACTCTATCCATTTTAAACCCATTTAAATACTCATTTAAGTACTCATATCATTTAATTACTCATAGTCAAACCCGTTTAAATTTTACTACCTATATATGTCCAAAACTCGTTTAAAATGCCTCTTAAACAGTAGGGTGTGAATAATGAATATGATCATTCTCTGCATTGATAAGGGCTAAAATAATGGGATTCTATTCCCCCCCCTGGGATTCTATATTCCCCCCCAATAATGGCACAATCGATAGTGACTAGCACCATAAGATTAAGGAATAGAATCAATGTAATTAAATAAATTTCAATAGCTGTAATTTCTTTTTCTGCCTGTATATACCCCCCCCCCCCCCCCAATAAATGGCACAATCATAAGTTGACTAGCACTAAGATTAAGGAAAGAATCAATGTAATTATATAAATGTTCAATAGCTGTATTCTTTTCTGCTGTATATATAGTTGTATCTATGAAGAGAAAAGGTACATCAGATTCAGAATTTCTCTTATTTGTATTCTAATATTGCTTATCTTTAACATGGTATCAGAGCCTAGACTCTAGATCTTGTTTATTTTGATAATCATTTTCAGATTTGTTCAGCATTCAGGCTTCGTCAAATTGTTTCATATATCGAGACACCAATTTTTTGCTTGGTTTGTGAAGAATAAGTTTTGTAAGGTGTGATCCAAACCTTGAACTCTATTTACTTATTGTTTTCTTATTGAAATGGAGTCTGAAAAATCAGATAGCAGATTAGTTAAGTTTAATGGTCAAATCTATGCTATTTGTGAATTTCATTTCCAAATCTATGTCGAAGGGAAAGATTTGTCTGGAATTCTTGATGGTTCATTTTCACAACCTAAAGAAGAAAAAGAAAAGAGTCAATGAAAATTAAAAATGCTAGAGTCATGAGTTGGATCCTAAATTCTGTTGAAATGGATTTGCTTTGAATCTTAGACCTTTTAAGGCAGCTAGTGAGTTGTGGATGCATCTACATAAGGTGTATTCTCAAACAAATGAAGCTAGAGAATATGAGATAGAATATGAAATAGGAAAAATCAATCAAGAGGGAAGGGATATCAAATCTTTTTATGGGAGATTATTAAAATTATGGACTAAGCAAGATCTTATGTCAGTTAATTTTGTGGATAAAGAGACTTAAGTTGAACTAAAGAACGAGAGAGATAGAGGCAAAATCATGCAAGTTCTTATGAAACTCAAACTTGAATTTGAAAATGCTAGAGCCAATATCATCAATAGAGGTATTAAGGACCTTGACACAGTCCTAGCTGAACTTATTCGTGAAGAAACCAGATTGAATACCTTGACTTTATTAGATGCTAAACCTCACTCATCAGATACTGCATTTCTTGCATCTCATAGTATGTATCAACCCAAAAAAATCTGATGAACGTGGCATTATTCAATGTAAACATTGTAATGAAGTTGGACATACACAAGCTCATTGCAAGAAACAGAATTTTTGTAATTATTGCAAGCTGTCAGATCATATAATTTTAGGGTGTTGGATATCGCAAAGGAATAAGCAAAATCAGTTTGGGAATAAACAGAATCAGTGAAATTTCTCAAACTCCGAAAAGCTACTGAAAATTCTATTTCGCATGAAGACATTCAAGAATTAATCCACACTTCATTACAATCAACTCTACCAGCTGCAATATCCTTTGCTTTCTCTGCTATTGGCTTATCAGGTAAAGGAATTAAAACCTCAACTTGGTTTATTGATTCGACAGCCTTTAATCATATGACTGGTCAAAAACCTATATTTCCTCACCTTAAATCATATCCTTCAAACCATTTTATTGTGACAGTTAATGGAAACCAATTACCTATTAAAGGAGTTGGTACTGTCAAATTAAAAGACAAAAATGGCCAAGCTTTATCACTCCCAAATACACTTTATGTTCCAAATATAGTTGCAAACTTAACTTCTGTGGGTCAGTTAGTTGATCGAAATTGTTCACTTCATTTCTCTCCAAATGGTTGTGATGTGCAGGACCTTCAAACAGTGAAGATAATCGGGAAAGCTCATAAGTAAGGCCTTTTGTTCCAACTTGCTGTTGATTCAACAATATTGCCTTCATTATGTTTTTCAGTCTCCTCATCAGAAAAAGAATCTTCTTCATATGAACTTTTAGTGGCTTTGGCATTGTCATCTAGGACACCCTCATTCTAGAAGACTAGAGCATATGCTTAAATTTCATCTTCTTCCAAATAAAGTGTCTTTAAATTCCTTGAATTTTGATAAAAATTGTGAGAGTTGTGTTTGCTGTAAAGCACCCAAATTGCCATTATCTTCTGGCAATTCTAGTGTTAAGTCACCTTTTAATTTGGTACATAGTGACTATGGGCCCCATCACCTGTGAATTCAAGATTAGGTTATAAATTTTTTGTTTTGTTTGTTGATCATTATACTAGGTTCACTTGGGTTTATTTTTTGCATGCAAAATCTAAATTGACTAATGTTGTCAAAATGTTTATCACCATGGTAGAAACACAATTTGGTAAAATTATAAAGAAATTTCTACCCTGGGGGAGAATATCGTTCATCTACTCTTAACTCTTTTTTTTTTAGGAAAAACGTATTTTGATAAAACAATCATGTCCATAAACATTAGAACAAAATGGAACTATTGAGCGAAAGCACTGACATGTTGTAGAAATTGCTAGAACCTTTCTACATGATTCACATGTACCATCTCATTTTTGGATAGAGGTTATTCACACATCTATATATTTGATTAACCAACAACCGACAACAATACAGATAATAATGGATAAGGTACCTGTAGGTATCCACTACTGAACCTGTTTAATATAACGGTTAACGAGCAGTGGGTATCCAAATGTTTATACATGTACTCTACCTGTATCCATTATATGTAGTAATTTCACTACCCATATCCATTACGAATAGTAATTTCACTATCCATATCCGTTCCAAATCCATTTATAACTACTAATATCCTCTTTAAATGGATCCGAGCGGTGCGAGTACCCTAAAATACTTGTACCACTTCCATCCCCACCTTTAAGGTGTAAAACAATGTGTTAATTATTAGGATTAGTTTTGAATTAATTCATGTACTGAAAATTTGATATTTTGATAAAAATTAATATTAATTTTCAGAATTAATTTGATTTTTTTTCAAAATTTTTATGGATTGATTTCAATTAAATAATGGTTTAATAAAATAAAAAAATTGAAAAAGCTTTGAAATAGTCGAAGAACTAAAGAATACAATCTGCCATTATTGTGGCCGAACTGCTAGGCTCCGTGAGCCACAAGCGACGGGCCGTGCGTTGGGCTTGTCTCTAGGGGTGAGCAAATCGCAGATATAACCGAAATCCAAAACCGGACCTAGAAATTTTGGTTTGGTTTGGCTACCAATAGATTAATTTTGGTTTGGATTGGTTAGTTATAAATACTAATTTAGTTTTTCGATTATGGTGCAGTTAAACTGAAATAAACCTCGGTTAATCCAGATTAACTAGATTAGTACCTAAGATATTTTTTTATCTCAGATTTTTTTTTTTTTTGTATCAAAACATTGCATTTTTATCCTATATTAAAATAAAACCAAGAGTGCAAACAATATTTGTGTAGTTTTTGTGACATGTGACAATAATATGGTATAACTTTTGAGATTACTGACAAAGAGGATCATATTTAATTGGTTAATAACTGTAATTTTGTAACTGAAAGTTTAATGAATACTTCTTTTAATGTTAATCATATTAATTATTATTTGGATAGTTGAATTTAGATATGACTACTTTTGTAATTTTTGTTGGACACCTGTGACTTGTTGCATTAATGAATTAATTTTATTATTTATTTATTTATTTATTCTATGCAATTGTCTATAAATTTATAAGCATATATATACAATTGCTTTAAGAGTGCAAATTGCAAATCTGGATATAGGAACACATATATTGAAAAATTTTGGATTTGGATTTGGATATTTTCTCGTAATTGATTTGGATTAACCAACTAAACATACTAATTTGGTTATTTAGATAGTTGCGGTTTTTTGTAATAAAACCGCACACTATTGGGTTCTATAACTTTCGGTTTTATATTAAATATGGTTTGAATTTGTCACAACCCATTTCCATGGACCGGACCGGCACTAGGACCTGGGTGGGTTTAAGGCCCCCGAAGCCCGTAGTAAGCCTATATTATGCAAACTTCATTATTGGTTCTATAAACTTTTTCGGTTTTTTCATATTAAAGATAGGTTGAATTGGTCACACATACCCATTCCCATGACCGGGACAGGCAATCTAGACCTGGGTGGGTTTAAAGGGCCCCGAACCCGTGAGTAAGTCTATATTATGCAAAACTTCATTTCTATTCATAACTTGGATGCAAGCCAAAATTATTTCAATATGCACCACTTAATTACACGTTCATATATTTAATACTAGACTTTTTTTATTATTCAAATTTACACACCCAACTGGAATAACAGATTCGGAACTCTACCTTTTAACATTTTACCCATTGTCATTTCGTATCATTATAAACAGTCTTTATAATTAAATAATTCTCAAACTCCATAAGATTTTTTCTTTCTTCTATAATACCTGAAAAAGATAGGTAGGCAGGGGTGAGCGCCAAAACTTAAGGAGTAGGGTTAGGAAAATAACCCTCTCACCCCAGCACAATCAACACAAATGCTAATAATATTTAAATTTGGTCAACTCATTCAGTTTAATATGACATGCAGATTATACACAAATGGCAATACAAAATCAGCAATCACCAATTATTATCACCTTCAATAGTAATATCACATTTCACAGTGGAAAGTTAGGTCCAGTGGAGTCACCGAACCCCGATGAGTCCGTCCTCTCACCCATGTGGCACCAGGGAGCCGATCCCCCATACCTGGTCGACCGGTCTCAGAATCCCTCAAACTTGCCAGCCCTCTCATTGTTTTTCTATCCTCTCTTTTTCCTTTTTCCATGACCAACAGAGGCACCCGGTGGTCCATCCAATTCTAGATCATCAAAGCCTCAAAACCAGGAGGCACCTGCGGGCTGGATCATAATCAGACCCTGTTCCGGTCTAATGACGAGAAGCCAAACCGCGTGGGTTAACGGGTAACGGTTAAGGTTAGGTCACACGGGGGGAGCGCCGATCCCTCCCATTTGACCCCGGCTAACAGTAATCTTATTGGATCCATATAACTGGTACGGTTCACAGTCCCATGGTGAAAACCACTTCATCCAATTCCACACAAACAAATTTCAACACAAATCAACATTCCCCAACAATAATCAAGCAATATAATATCATATCAAATAGTGCATCACAAATATGCCAATAATGGGCATGATAACATTTAGGCCTGAATCATGAATGTGGCGGATGGAGGGCGAATTTAATCTAACACTACTTCACAGTTCTTTATTTTCCTTAAAAGGACTGCCTTTTTTTTTAGCCACATGCTTACCCGCTTTTTTTCCCCCCATCGCATCTTGTATTTTTATAAACCTTGTATTTTATAAACCTTTAAAATAAACAAGAAAATTCTAAATAAGAATTTTAATTCAAAAACTTATATTTCACATTCGTTTATTTATTTTGGCTACCAGTCATTTAATTCACTTGTTATATAGCATATATATTTAGGTTCTCTCATTTATATAAATAACTATTCTAATTTATAACCTTTAGATAAAATCTCTAATTATTCGGTGAGAAATATTGTATAATGATAATTCTAATATTGTATAATATTTCTTAATACTTCAAATTTTTGTCGTCACTACTTCTTAAGAATATAACTAATTTAATTCTTCATTAAGTAAGTGTTTTATTAAAAATTTTGGCAACATTTCCTCTATATTTCACATTCTGGTCTCTTGAAGTCTCGCCGGAGTCTCGCACGGGGGGCCGGTCCACCGGGACCGCCGCCGCCGCCACCGTGGCACGGTGGCAGGAAAAAATTTAACCTTCACCAAAATTGAAAAATTGACAAACAATACATCATTTTATTCGTTTCGATGAGAGGATCACTAATATGTGTTCAAATCAAGGTGGGTGTGAACCAGTTGGCCGGAAATTAATCGGAAAGGTTCGGTGATACCCATTTTGGGTTTTCCGATTCCGGCTATTACAGTCGACGAGGAGGCCATCAAATTAAAGAGGAAGAAGAGAGGAGTCATTTGGTACTCACCTTGCGCCCTTGGCTTGCCTGAAACGGCGTGAATCGCCGGAAAAAGTTGTCCCAAACTTCAAGCTCTTCCCCTTCAAAATAGACACAATTTCAGTTCAAATCTAAGCTATAATCTTCTTCCTCGCGTTGAGTAGATGTTTTTAGAGTATAGTATTCATTTGTCGAATTTGGTGGCCGGAGGAAGGAGATCGAAGGGTAGAGAAAGGAGGAGGAAAGGAGGAGCCACGCTACTGGAGAAGGAGAAGGAAGAAAAGAAAAGAAAAGGAAAAAGAAAGAAAAAAGAAAAAAGAAAAGAAAAGAAGTTGGCCAGTCGGTCGATTCGAACCGTATCGGTCCGATTCAGTGATTTGGTCTCATTTCGTTGTTTTTTTCGAGTTTTCAATCGATTTGGTGGCCGGAGGAAGGAGATCGAAGGAGAGGAAGGAGGAGGAAGAGGAGGAGGCCACGCTACTGGAGAAGGAGAAGGAAGAAAAGAAAAGAAAAGGAAAAAGAAAGAAAAAAGAAAAAAGAAAAGAAAAGAAGTGGGCCAGTCCGGTTCGATTCGAACCGGTTCGGTCCGATTCAGTGATTTGGTCTCATTTCGTTTGTTTTTCGAGTTTTCCAATCGATTTTCGGATCCTTCGCGTGGTTCTCGACAAATTAAACTGATTTTTAGGTCCAATTTGATTTATTTTGATTGTTTAGTCCAGTTCCGTAATATTTTCTCAATTTATTCAATAATCATAAAATATTAATAGCAAAGATATCTAATTTTAGGCTGATTAATTTATATAGTAATTACACCTATATATGAACACATTTATAATCGATTAGCAATTGGTGTTCCATTTTTATTTTCATCGAAATTTTAAGTATTACCCAAATGAAAATTCCGAATAATATATTTTTGGGCTTGGGCCCAATTCATAATTTAGGCCCAGATCAAAATTACTCAGCACTTAAGCCCATACAGTCACAAATTAAGATTTTTGATTTATTAAAAATTCAAAAGTTTCGAAAATAAAAATTCGGGGTATTACAGAATTAGATAATGGATTTATGAAATTCGGCTATATTCAGATTGAGTTATTCGATTCGGATTGATTCGGATTAACCGAATGCCCATCCCTACTTGTCTCGATGTGTGCACCGCCTCCTTGCGCGAGCTCTAGCAGTTGGTGTAGGTCCTAGCTAACGGTGGTTGCTTATTTTCGAT